CCCCGGACACGCCCCGGACACGCCCCGGACACGCCCCGGACACGCCCCGGACACGCCCTCTCACCGGGAGCGTCCCCGAGGCCAGCCTGGGGTGTGACGCTGGGCAGTCACCGCGTGGCTCGGGGAAACCCGCTAAAGGGTACCTGAGTGAGGGGTTGTGCTCCGAGCTGGTGCACACAACAGTGTGTATCGCACAGAACAGTGTGTATCGCACACAACAGTGTGTATCGCACAGAACAGTGTGTATCGCACAGAACAGTGTGTATCGCACACAACAGTGTGTATCGCACAAGAACAGTGTGTATCGCACAGAACAGTGTGTATCGCACAGAACAGTGTGTATCGCACACAACAGTGTGTATCGCACACAACAGTGTGTATCGCACAGAAAGAACAGCTGCTTTCTGCTCATCAGTGTTAGCCCGGTTTTGATACCGTGCAGCAGAAAGTTCCTGGGACTTGTGCGTGGTTAGAGTATAATATAGCTGTGTCCAGGTTTTCGTGATCCTCATATGTTTGCCGGGAGTTGTTTTGCCTCCTTCTTCAGTCCCTGGCTTTGCTCTTCTCCCACAGTAAGGAGCAACCTGGCAGGGCTCATGGACATCCTTCCTTTGCTCCTGCATCCTTCACCACGCTCAATTTCCTCACTAGCAGTTTTCTGTTCTCCCTTCTGCAGCACTGATGACCTTGGTGGCTCAAGTGCCTGGTGCCCTGAACTAAATTGCACCCACAGCAGTAACTACAGACATGTTTTTGTGGCACCAAGGTAATGGGTTCAATCCCTGTATGGGCCCCTTCCAACTCAGAATATTCTGTGATTCTCGTCTGGTTTCACTTTGATTTTTGCCTAAAATCTCACCAGATACTATGGTCAGTTTTATCTCATGAGAAAATCATGTTCCCTCTCCCTCTGACGTGCTTTTATGCTCTCTGTCTCTAGCAGCTTGAACACCTCTACTTTTCCTCCCTGCCAGAGCCACTAGGGTTTCTTGTCTACATTGCTTTTCCTCCACTCCCCCCACTGAGTCTCCTGTTTTCTTCTCATCAACCTCTATAACTTCAGTTTTCCACTTGTGTTTTCACCTCCTTCCCTGTCTCTGAGCTGTGCTGTGTACACTCACTTCAGGAATTCTTCCACTCCACTTCCATCCTAGGCCCTCATTTCTCTCCAGTCTGTCTTCCCCTTGGAATTTTGCAGGCAATGCTCCTTTGGCATTGGTAACTTAACCAATTCTGCAACCATTTCTCACCACCCTTGATCTGTCAGCCACTTTCAGCAGAGGTTACCTAAAATGAGAGAAAACAAGCACACGTATCTTTAGATGTGTGCCCTAATCAAGTGTGTACTCTGTGTCTTGGTTTTTATCCGTGTTGCAAGGAGGCCCAGAGGTTGCCCAGAAAGTCGTGGTGTCTCCATCCTTCAGCACAGATCTGAGTAACCTGCTCAGAGCCTGTAGTTCAACCCTGCTGTGAGCAGGAGCTTGGACTAGAGACCTCCTGAGGCATCTTCCAAGCTGAATTACTCCCTGTGCAATATCTGTGTGGCAGGTGCCAGAAATGCTGTCCTGAAGAGGAAAAGACTGGAATGCTAAGCTGGAGTTTATCAAGTACAAGCATAATTACAGAGTGTTTTGTTCCTGTTCCTCAAATTCAACTTCTTTGGCTCTTTAAGAGGTCTTGGAGTGGGGGAGGGAGGAGAGTTATAGTTGTTATTGGTTTGTTTGGTGTTTGTTGGTTTGGGGTTTTTTTTAGATATTATATATTCTTCCTTCTGTGCCTCCAGTCTATTGCAAGGATACTGTCCCCAGCCTCTGGTTAACATCAGGAACCATTTTTGTGTTGTTGTACCTCATCTTGTTATGATGTTTGTCCATTTATTCAAACTCAGCAGGGCTATAATTGAACTCCAGACTTCCTTTTTAAACTTCCCCCATTTCTTCCTTTCCCCAGCCCCTTGTTTATGTGCCATTCAAGCCCAGCAGCAAAGTGTCAAGTCTGAACTCATTATTCACACCGGGACTGTCTTTTTTCTTTTCATCACAGTATTTGTTTTATTTTACATCACAGTTTTATATAATGCTGCACTTGATTTAAATTAACCTTGTCCACGTGCAAAATTGCCTCGAAGTCTCAAGTTTATCTACTTTCAAATCAAATTACTGGTGAAAAAAAAAATTGCCTAGAGGTGTGCTTGCTTCTAGGTGTATGCGACAGTTTTCTTAATATTTGTAAATTTTCCTGTAAGCCATTAGCTTCCTGGTGGCACTTTCAGTTTCTCTTCAAAGTCACCTTCATTAGTGCTTTCCCTTCTGTGTTTTCCTTCTGATACCCAGTTCTTTAGGACTGAGTCTTTATACTGTACAATGTCGAAGATGTTTACAGCCCTACAGGGAAAAAAAACCCCTAAGCAACACATTCTGCAATTTAGGATATAGATAGTCTTGAAAATTACAGTGACTCAGAGATTTGCTAAAATTGACTACTAATAAGAGGATTTCTGAAACCAAATCATAGATTCTTTGATTGAAATCAGTGTCATTATATGCATTCATAAACTAATAGGAAACTAGAAAGAAGAATAAAATTACTACTTGCAGATTTGGCTTTTTCCCAGGGTTACTAGTTGCTCTTATTGAAACTGTTTATCCAGCAGAAAGCTGTTTCTGGGAGCTTTCACAATGGCTGGCATGGGGCATTTCTCTATTTTACTGTTCCTCCTTTGGTTGAGAGGCTAAAATCTCTAATTGCCTCACCTTTTGTGACAGAGGTCATAGATCTGTAGAATAATAAATCATAGAATTATATTAAATATCTTGAAGGGACACACATGGATCATCAAAGTCCAACTCATGGCCCTGCACAAGACCACCCCAAGTGCTGCATAACATTCTTTAATGCAAGCATTTGAAGCTAATAGAATAGGTTTGGGGTTGTTTGCTGTTTTTTTTAAAAAATAGTGTCACTGATTTATATCCTGAAACACTAATGATAACTAAAAAAACTTAAATCTGTCACTAAGAGAACAAATCCCCTTTTTGACTGCTTCTCATCTTTTATCACCAGCTTTATCTAGGCAGACATTCATAGGTCAGCACCTTAAACTAGAGGTGATTATTTCTCTTGCTTTGCATTGTGAGATTTGTTCTGATTTTTGAAATATCTTCATTTATCTGTCAGGAACAAAGGCTAAGAGGGCAATGGCTGAGCAACCGACACTGCTCCACAGACCTCTGCTTCCTAAGCTGCTGTCTAAACTGTCTACACCAAGGGAGAATGTTGACAAAGGTAAACTGCACAGGCAGTTTCTGTGGTGAATACTTACAAATGGCAGGTGTTCTCTCAAATTAACACGGAAGAAGACAGACTGGCAGCTCACCCACCAGTGCAAAGCAGTGTGAATGAGCCTGCAGTATGACCCATAGGACCTGCATCTCTTTGGGAGGCTCTTCGTGTAAACTGGGGAAGAGTCCTCTTGGCAGGTCCTGGAAGCTGAGCCTTCCACCTATCAGATTTGAATACTATCCACTGGATAATTGAGGCGTTCCCCTTAGCTCATCAGAAAATATGAGACATAACATGAAAAACTGCTGGTGTCAAGAAAAATAAAATTGGATCACATGGAGTCAGACCATAGGGGAAGTGAGATACAGCTTAGATTCAGATAAAATGGGAAAAAAATGACATTTTGGGGGATGGTCATGCTCTTTTCAGAATATACAATCCTGTGAAAGGAGATATCTTGGCTTATATTATTTTACAGGCATCAGGGATTTCTAATTAAAACAAAGGACTTGCCATGCAGTATGCTTCAGAAATAACCAGGCATTTTGTGTGCTTCTTATATAAGTGAATGAAAAGCTCTTTCCAGTTTATATAAAGTAGCTATTCATTAAATATTTAAGGACTAACCTTTAAAAATAAATGCTAAAAACAATAATATGATCTCTAATTATAACATTTTTAACCTAAGTAATATATAAATGAGATGGAAACTAGGCACCACTCCTGAAAACAGATCTGTAGAGAAGAACCCTGGCATCTGTGCAGGTTCACTGACTTCTGTCAACAACCTCAGGCCCCAGGAGCCACTGTAGAAAAAATAGATCTCATAAATTTTACAATTTTTTTTTTTACAGATCAGCACAGTAGAATAAAGGTGTAGCATAGAAAAACAATGCTGTCCCTATGACTGAGATAAAGAGACCAAATCAAGTTTGGGGTTTTTTCCATCTAGCTTCTGTAGTTCTGTAGGTACATCTAAATAGCTAAAACTCCTCAATCTTCATTTGACATAGTCAATGAAATAGGCAAAGAGAAAGAAAATAAATCAAAATTATTTTTATGATTTTTGAGAGAAATGGTAAGTAATTGGAATATTAATTTTGTTAGAATACTATAGTACTGTAATATTGTGTATTATATATACAATTATTGTATATGCATTATATATATAATGTATGTAACATATATACTTATATATATAGTACATATAAGATATACTGTATATATAATATATACACAAATATGTACATCATTATATCATAGTAAATTAAAAGGAGTAACAATAATATATTAAAAGTAATACTTTTCTAACAGTACAAAAATAGTAAAGAAAAGTCGGTTAAAGAAGTAAGGTTGTAAAATCAGATAATATCCCTTGATATTATTAAGACCTGTTGAATATTATTTTGAAAGTCTGGTAAAATCTGTTTATGTACAATACAGTTCCAGTCTGACCCTGCCCAAACAGATGCAAATATTTCTGGCTCACTACTAGAGCTGTGATTCAATGATTTAAGCCATTTTAAAAATGACAGAAAAACATTTTTATCCAGAATCAAAGTTCTGCTGTGCTGGCTCCTGTTCTAATAGTGCATATTACTGATGAATGCTATTTAGAGATTGTGTATTTATATAGTAAACATTACAGGAATCTAAGAGCTTGCAGTAAAGTTTGTTTAAGGATCATTTCTCCAAATGTAACTATCACACCTGAAAGATATTTACACAGCAGCATGCCCATTGATTAGCAAGGAACTCTTCAGCAATGGCACTTCCACATCTTGGTGGATGGAATTCTTCGTGCTTCACGAAGTGTGAGACTGAGACTGAAGAGCAGAAGCCCTGGGGTGGAAAAAAGACAGTGTTTTGTGGTGTCACTATCTTTTCCCTCCCAGGGGAGCATAGAAAGTGGGGCTGTAACAAAATGAAGTTGATTGAAAAAGCGGCAGAAATGTCATGGAGGGTGGACTGTGGCCACCTGAGAGCTGGAAGCTGTCAGACACTGGCAGAGGGCAGCAAAGTCAGGGAGATAAGCCAATGGTCCCAGCTTTCTTTGAGAGCTAAGCTGTAGTGGAGAGAGACAAAGCGTGACTTCTCCCTCAGCAGGTCCCAAGAAAAGAGCCTGCCTTGTTAAGGGAGCACAGCATCAACATTGTGGAGCTAAAGAGACTGAGTGAAGGATCATTTACCAAGTATTTCTTTGTTGATAAAATGTTCCCAGCTAAATGACTTCCGTCTGCAGTGCTGCTCAGAAACCAGGGAGTAGCTCAGGACCCAATGGTCCTCCAAAATGAAGGCTTTGGGGACAGCCCTGGTGGCAAAGCCCTGAGCCCAGTTCCAGTGTGAGGTGTATGAAACAAACCTTTGACACAGTGTTTTTATTTGGTTCATGTGGCACAGTTTTGGTAATGAGGGAGCTAAAGGGGTGTCTTCCATGAGAAGCTGCCAGAAGCTTCCCCCATGTCTGACAGATCCAATGCCAGCCAGCTCCAGGATGGACCCACTGCTGGCCAAGAGCAAGCCTTTCAGTACTTGTGGTAGCTTCTGACCACAGCCCCCATTCCCTGTCCTCCTGCACCACTGGGGGGAAGAAGGTAGAAAAATCAGGAGTGAAGTTAAGCCCAGGAAGAAGGGAGGGATGGGGAGAAGATGCTTTAAGATTTTGAGTTTTTTCTTATTACCCTGCCCTGGTCCACTTGGTAATAAATAAATTCAGTTCATTTTCCCAAGTCAAATTTTGCCCATGATGGCAAATGGTGAGCCATGTCTACCTGTCCTTACTTCAACCCAAGAATCTTTTGTTATCTTTTCTCCCCCCTGCCCAGCTGAGGGGAGTGACAGAGTGGCTTCAGTGGGTACCTGGCATCCAGCCAGGGTCAACCCACCCCAGTGGTATGGGACACTAGGCCTCAGTACCAATTATTGCTTTAAGGATATAGAAATTTGGAAGAAAATGAAGCCCCTTGCACTCCAGCTGGTCATCAGATATCAGAGGGCTGGGTGTGGCTGGGTTTAATTTCTGATTATAGCAAATTTGGCACTATCAGCCTCATCAAATTAAGTAAGAACTTGTACAATCCAGGTTCAAAACCGGTGCAGTTTATTGGAGCAACCGGAAAGCAGGTTCAGAATTGTCAGTGATAAATGCACTAACCACAGAGTGTTAGTGTATGTCACTGCCAAAAGTACAGTAACAGAGATCTATCAGGGATAGATAATTATATATAAATTATATATAATATATTATATATATCTGCAGTGTAGTTGAAGGTGCAAAGCTCACCTGAGCATCCCTTTAGGGGCAGAGAAGAGACACAGTCTTGACCAATCCAAAGCAGACAGAGGTTCTCCACACCCATAATCTTTTTTTTTTTCCTTTTTCTTCTGATCCTGAAACTCCCCTTGCCTATACTATAACTATAACTTTTGGCCCTTCCTGATGAGGTGGAACAACTGCATGTTATAGGTGGAGTTTTGGTGACTGCAGTCATAAATATAAGGCATGTTCACTTTCCATTTGCATTCTTAGGGGAGCAAAAGTTTTCATGCAAATAATGAGGGCATTTGTTACTTCCAGTCAGAATTTACAGTTGCCACCCAAGGTAGAAAGAACACTTGGGTCATCCTCCACCTGCCGAGGCAGCTGTAAAGGCTGTCTGACCTCTGTCAGAGGTCACTCCAGGCATTGTTTCCTTGGCAGCCCTTGCTAGAGCCAGGCTCTAGGTAAGCAAGGGGCCCAGCTCAAGTTTGTCTCAACCAGCTTCATTAGTTCTTCATACACTTAAAGCAAGTCTGACAATTTAGCACAATATCCAGCTCGTGACCACAGGTGTGCAAACAACACCTATAAAAAGCATAAGGAATTCTGTGAAGCTGCCTGTGACTGAAGTTCTGTGAAGTGTCCAATCCTGCAGTCACTGTTGAGACAATTTCTAAAAGACAATTCCCTTGTTCCTTCCACAATTCCCTGTTCCTTGACCATGACTGACCTCACTTTTGCAATCACACTTTAAACATGTCTCTTTCATGGTGCTTTTTTTATATGGGATTTTCCTAATTTCCCTTTCCCATTCAGTAGGAGTAGCATGATGTCTAGGTGATACATGGAACACTGTGGAGCATGAGGGGAGGGGAACACTCACCAAAGGAGCCCCATCTACTTCTCAGGTGAAAGATCTCATTGTACTGGCACATGACAGCTTGCAAATGGATTCAGGATCTCTGAACAGGGACTTGTCAGTGGTACAAATAGCCATATTTCACACACAGGAGAACAAACACTGTTCATTCATTCTTCATTAAACTCAAAAGGTGCCTCTGAAAACCTGTCCTTCCTGCCTCTGAGCCAACTCTCCTACTGGATGCAACACGTCATTCAGTACAGTGTGTAGGAGAACTGCCCTTGTGTTGGAAAAAAAGACTAACATATTTTGTGATTGGCACTACTGAGATGCTTAATTGTTGGTGCATATTCTCTGGACAAGAAAAATGCATATAGGGCATGGAGAATTTCTCACATGATCTTTTTGTCACAAAGGATGCCAGAGGATGCCTCATTATAAATGTCTTTTTTCTCTTATCTTCAGCAGGAAGGCTTTTTGGACAATTATCCTGCTAGAGCAGTGAGGAGTACAAATAATGAAAATGGAAAAGAAGGGTCTGGCAGTTGTCAAGGGCTAGTCAGGCAAACAGACATTTCCCTCAGCAATGAACATGTATTTCAGAGTCTCTTCAAAATCCAACGTAAAATACAACCCAGACTTCATCAGATTTGCCATGGTCAAGTGCAAATCCATCTCAAATCCAACTTCTTCAGACCCAGCTGAAGCCTGGAAATGCACAGCCTGTTTGACCACATTTATTCTTGTTTCATATGCTTCCAAAAGAGATATGCCTATCTGTTTAGCCAAGATAACATCCATGGGCAAATACACTTGCAGCCCATAACTACAGGTTTGCATGAATTAACAAGAGGTTTGATTCCCTCCAAAGCAAGTTTCCCAAGAGACCAGAATGATGATAGGTACTTCCCAAATCTAGTTCATAAGAATAACAATCCTGGGTGTTGGTCTTTGCCAGGCATAGCTGCAAGCTTTCCTGTCTACATAGGCAGCAAAATGTCAAACCAACTACTTTGAATGGTGCTGACATAACTGGGGTTGAATTACAATTTCACAATAGGTGCAGTGCTGGGCAAGTGCCATGAAAATTATGCAGGATGCATCAGAAAGAAGGTGAGACACAGTAAAGGTACAGAGGAAATGGCAAAAGGGGGTGAGACAAAAGAAAGAATAAATAAACAGTGGAAAATTTAAGGCAAGACTACTACAGAAAAAAAAACTATGTAAATCAGTTATGCCTACAGCTACTCTAATATTAAGTTAATATTAGTTTTAAATCATTCTAAGCACTTCATTTTCAGTGGAAGGGTAAGAAATACAAGATCACTTTTCTGTCAATGAGGTTACAATTCCAAAAGATACTTTAAATGAAAGCTGCTATTGACTCTTGAACACAGCAACATGAGCAATGCATCTTTGAGGAATATACCCTAAAGGCTAAAAGCAATTTTCTGCTACAAGAAGCAACACAACACTTCCACTTGGGACCTGAACATCAGTTTTTCCTCAGACTATCTTGCTCATACTACATCTCTTGAATGTTTCACAGCTACCAGTGAGAATGTCTGAATTGGATTTTCATTTTTTCTGGAAATGTTTTTTCATCTTTACAGCCACATGTTGTGGATTTTTGTTTACACAAAGAAGGATTTTCATTTGGGTTTTTAATTTTAATGAAAGACAGACAATGCTTGCTTACTCTGACTATAGTTATCTGTTGCTATCTGTTACTACCCTGGGAAATCTTCAGCACCAAAGCACTGTTTTCCTTGCAAAGCAGATGCCAGGGATGTAAGAAAATTCTGAACTCCAATGCAATACATAACTTCTCTTTCATTATAGCCATCTTCATTATTTACACTCACCTATGTCTATATTATAACCCTTAGATTTTGTCACATATATTGGAACCCTTAGATTTATATTTGATAATACTACAGGGATTGATAGGTAGTGTACGTTGCATAGATACACTTAATTGTGTGTCTGTTGTGAAAATGATTAAGTTCTGGTTTATATAGAACTAGATGACAGATTATATATATTAAAGTGTATTTGAAATTATATAAGGCAATAGTTAAATATTATCTCAGTATCTATGCAGTTTGAGACAATGCATGTAACAATAAGAATGCAGAATCAGTGTTCTCCTGTCAGAGTTTGTATAAAGCTTCCTACAGCTAGAAATTAGCTGTTAGAAGCTAACATTAGTTAGAAATGAAAGAATGAATTTGATAAAAAAGCAACAAGCTGAAGAAGAGTTTCTGTGCCTGGGTTTTGGAGATGTTTTGGATTGCATGTTTGAATGTTTTGGATCCTCTCTAAAGGATGAGTATAGTCCAGAACTTGACTAGCTGAGTGAATATATCCAGTATGCCTTAGGAAGGTTACAGAGGGAAGTCTTAAAACAGTTGAACAGCATGGGAGAGTGGTACTTTATGAAGCTGATTCAATTTATATGTCTCTTTTGGGCCTACTTTTTGTTTCATCTTCCAGACTTGACCCCTGTAATGGTTACCTTTGTCTGCCTTAATCTGTCATTCAATAACTTACTCCTCTTTCCTATACAGGTGTGTGCTGCTTATTTTCCATATCTTCACAGAAGTCATGTAAAGCTGAAATTTGACAGTTTAGTAACAGATGTAAAGCTTTTGCCTGGGCAAAGACTATCTTTGGACAACAGAGTTGTAGATTCAGGCTGGAAGGGAGTTCTGGCCAAACCCCACCCAGAGCAGCACCAATTTAGACCTTCAGATATCTCCCTCAGGAGCACAGGACTCTTGACCTAAAGAAATAATCCAGTATTTTCCCAAACTTTTTAAAAATGTGATCCTCACCCTCTCCACTTTTCTGATTCATCATGTGTATAGAGCCAATTATATAAGACTATAAAATGTTAGAAAAGTTACTTAAATTAAGGTACTTCTAGCAGACCTCTGTTTTGAAAACTTTCAGTACTCCTTTTGTGAGCTGCAGAGCAGGACTAGATGACTTCCAGAGGTCCCCTTCAGTCTGTACTTTTCTGACTCCATGATTCTCTGTCATTTCTAATTTTAATTTCTAATTCATCATTCTATTTTATTTCTTTGTAGGTTGTTTTTATTAGAAGATCTCTAGTATTTGGATATTGCCTATGATGATACCAACTTTATTCCTAATGACATCAAGAACCTCAGGTACATTAACAATGGAAAATGAAAACAGATCTGTATATCATAATGCTCTGGACCATACTTGGATATTAATTGTGCCACTGAGTAAGTTTGAAAGATTTACTGTCCCCTTTCTCCCTTCTTAATCCTGTCCTATGGGAAGGTCTCATTGAAACAAAAACAGTAGATGGCAACTGCAAACCAGGAGCAGCTGTGGGTAGTGTAGACCCAGCAACTCTTTGCAAGAATCTTGATGATAGCTGTAAGTTGAATATTCCTGTGCAAAATATGATCATTCCCTCAACTGACCACATGTGTTCACATACTCTTGATTTATATGATAAGGAAACAGAAGATGTATTTCTAAACCATATATGATTTTTTTTTAAGCTGTGTGAAGTGTTGGTGAGATAAAAATTTAAATGGGGACCCACCCAATAGAACCTGTAGAAAAAAAATATATTCATATGAGACCTTTTTCTTTGCTGACCTTAATGTCGATGCTATCTGTATATATATGTCTAATACATTCAGATGCCCACATTCCTGTTTTTCCAGATAACCCAGGTATTTAAACTATCATTAGAAATGTACTGTACATACAATTGTGTCTAGAACTTAAAGTGCACTATGAGAAACACATAGCATTTTTTATGTACATATTATGTACATTAATAATGGTTTATTAATACACCAAATAGGAATTAGGACAACAGCAATGTGGTCAAGGCTGGATATGGTGTGAAGAGCCTAAAAAGGCCTAGTGGTATCTCGAGTTACTTAAAAATTGTGTGTTTGAACACTGAAAAGAACCAGCCCTCTGCTTTGCCAAGATTTTGAATCTTCCACTAAAACTCCTCCGATCAAAAAATAGCTTCATACACCCCTTGTTCCATAATAATAATATGCAGAATTAGCCCAAAAAGCTCACTCATGTGGCTGCTATTTGCTTCTATAGAAAGAACCCAAAGGAAAAATGCCTAGACATTAAAGACAGAAAACAAAAAAAATTATTGGATGAGTAATACAGAAATATGTCCCATTTCCTTGCCTCCCCCAAGAAGTATTGTGTGCAAGAGATGACCCCCAATCAGAAATTGTACAAGTATTAGGAGAGTGGAAGTTCATGAGCGGTCCATTCTTTCACATGAAATGAATGTTGATCAGAGGTGGCCATTGCACAATATGGGTTATGTCATGGTTTGCTCAAATCCAGATATCAAGTGTAACGGAATGACCGTGAAACCACTTTTAAGGGAGATTTATCAGGCATGCAAATATTTCCTTGTATCTGAGGTTCCTAGGATTTTACACTGCCACCTGTCCTCCAGACAAATGTGTGTTGCCTCTTCATGTTGTGGCCCTGTGTTCTGTATTCTGAACAAGCCAGTCTGTTCAGAACGGGGATGGACCTGAGGCTCACAGCTGAGACGAAATTATGTCAGCTCCATTTCTGGGAATTGCAGAATCATTTTCTCCCCTCTTTCTCCACCTCACTCCACTGTACAGCACATCTTTCTATTTTTGGCGTGGCTTCCCCATGGGAGCCATGCAGACTGTGCATTAAGGCCAGAGTAATTACTTCTCTGCAGTGGTGTGGGCCTACGCTGAAGCGGAGCTGGAACTTTTAAGCACCTTCTCTAGTGATGAACCACAGCCATTTTGAGGCCAGACAATTTCTTTAATCTGCATTTGTGAGTGAGGAGGTTGAGCTGCTGTGGCTGTGTGCACATACTTTTAGAAGGATGACACAAAGTTTATGACCCAGTTTGTTCTCCACCATAGTTTTACTGCCTGTGATTGCTGCAGTGGACCTTGATATGGCAAAGGACTTCAGTTCTTCATTACAGGAACATACTTAGATTTGGAAGACTTCCCTTTTGTTTCCATGCTTGCTCATCATTATAGTACAGAAACCTCATGTCTCAGACTGAGCCTTGTCTCCTATGCCTTGTGGAAAGTGATCTTGATTGCAGCAGAGGAACTGTGAATGGATAAAATAGTTAAGAAATGCAAGATTTCATGTTATGTTATTCTGTTGTACAACCTGGGACTCAGCTGGAGCAGTGATGGTATCAGTGCTTTCAGCTCTGAAAGGTCTCTTTGGTATCAATGTATATATAGTTGAATCAAAGTGAAAGGCAGATTCATCCATATGTAAAATCAATGAAGTTATATGCTGACCCTGTGTTTCCTCCAGTGATACTTGGAGAGGGATCAGATTTTTTTGCTCTGCTAGCACTATGTCATTTTACATCATACGGCTCATCATTGCTTTTAAAAAAAACAAAAAAAAACCAAAAAAAAACTTTATTCCTGGACCACAAATTACATACAGGACCTATTCATCAAAACTGCAACGTTTTTGCAAGCTATAGAAGGTCTTGCAAATAAATCTTGGTATTTCTTCTAAGTGCCTTAGCCTGCAACAGAACAGGGATCAGAGCTTCAACTTCTGATTTGCCACTTCTTAACCACCATACTGCTCAGTAAGGGCTTGGTTGGCTCTTCCTGTTGTTTCCCACGTGGTATCTGTACCAGAGATGCAACATACAAACATAGTGAGACTCAAATGCTTCTTTAATTTTAAAAAATCAAACCCCTCTGATTTTATTACAATTCACTTAACAAGACAGATGATTATTAAGTGTGATGTATTTTCACATCTTTGGTTAAATTACAAAATTCAGCATTTTTTCACAGCTACAATTGAAGGGGTTTGTTCTGATCTCTGTAACATTGTACTTTTTCCTATTCCAAGGCAAACATTTTCTATATGGAAGGATTTATACCATAGATGTGTAACAGACTTTGGGCCCTGATGCACTGAATCCAGTGCCTGAGTCTTCCCTGGCTGTGGAACACTCTCAGCTACAACCTGGACTGAACAGGAGAAAGGGACTTCCCAGTATGACCCTATGGGACTTGCCCAAACCTGGTGTTTTCATAACCTTCAGCTGGAAGTGCCTTGGTTTTGCTGTGTCTCTTGATTGTCAATAATGTAAATTGTCTTAAAAATCAATATTTGACTAGAGGCTGGAAAGTCTGGAAATGGCTTTTCACAAGTGCTGGATACACAGCATGATAAAGGCAGATGGGACTCTGAGAGAGAAGAGGGAAATGCTAAGGGAGAGATGAAAAACTGATGACACAGGCCTTCTGTGTATCCAAGCACTCCTATGCACAGAGCTACACCTCTGTCCCAGTGATGGGACAGATTATATGTCCCAAATCGTTGCTGGATAAATTGCATCAGTAACATCAAGGACAGAGCTCTACACATGGGCCTCCTGCTTGTATAAGAATTGGGCCACAAAGGCAGGTCAGCCTTCTGCACTGCCTCTTTCTCTGGCCCCATGAATCTTGCATGCCTGACGATGACTGTGTAGCCATAGTGGCCCCCATTTCTCTCCCCATCAGCCCTTCTGCTTTCCCCCACACATCACTTTTTTCTTTCTGACCTGTGGCTGGTGAGCTCTGCTCCACTATGGTTACAAGGGGTGAAACCACCTCAGCCCCAGCCAAAGGAGGAATGCTTTTTCACATCCTGGTGAGTGCTCCAGCCTCCACTCAGCTGTGCAGACACCGTTTCCCCTCCTCCTCCTCAAACTTGAGCAAACTCAGTGTTGTCCTGTTCTGTCCTGTTCTGTGTGCAGCAGTGAGTCTTCAAGTCCCTTGAGGAGCTGCAAGGACAATTCAGGTGTCTGTGGACAAAGGCCAAGCCAAGGATGCTGTGAGGCTTCAGCTTGTTAGCACAGCCAAAATCTTGTTTCTGTGGAGCTGAAGGATGGAAGTAATTTTGTGACTCTTTCTCCTCTTGCTGTACTAATCACAGTAAAAACTCAGCTGCTTGTTTCTGCTGGGATTTTCACTGGAGTCATTAATCTCAGTACAGGTACCCAGCTACAGGCTGCCAGAAATAGGGATAGACAGCAGTGGGGACTGGGAGTGAAATTAGAGACATTTGAATGCAGAAGCAGAAAATGATGTAGCAGAAAGAGAACTGCAAGAGGGAATTCAGTGTTTTAACAGAACACATGGGCATTACAGTGAAAAAAACTGAAGGAGTTTTTGCAAATGGTAATAAGGATTATTCAAATACAGAAAACAGGGAACTGTGTCACTTGCAAGAAGATTGCCACTGGCTAAGTATTAAAGCTTCACATAAAGAGAAGAATGCCTAGTATTGAAACTCCACAGCAGTTTCAATGTCTACCATGGAACAGGTAGTCTGAATAACCACTCCATGATTTTGAGAGGAACAGGAAAGAAAAAGCTCCATGGTTCAGAAAGAAGAGAGGATTTTCTTGTCCTTTAAAGTCGTTTGGGATTGATGTCATTCCAGAAGATTTGAGCATGCTGAGGAACTTGTGGCTGAAATTCCAAATAACCCAGAAACTAGCAAGATGCCCAGTAAAGTTAGCAGCTACCTTTGGCTTTGTCTCACCTGTTGCTGGCTGCTCATGGTGAGGAAAATGAACTCTGCACTGCAGAGTACAGTACAGAGCACAGAGTACAGCAGGTGCTTCTGCAAAGGGGCATGCAGGCATAGATAAACACAGACATGTGTGACCTTCTGTGCTCTGGGTTTAGAGTTGGCTGGCAGAGAAGGAGCTGTGAGCTGCAGTGACATTGTCCCCCATGCTACTGGAGTAGTGGTAGTAGTAGTAGTAGTAGTAAGAGTATCTCAAGTGCAGCACTGCTTCACTCTCTGCCTTCTTAGTGAGAGTTTGGGCTGTGCCAGGCACAGGGAGGAACCACCACGTGTCAGATCCTGCCTGAGCAGATATGCCTTTAGGGAACAGTAGTCCTGTGTCTTCCAAAGAAAAAAAACCAAAACGTTCCCTAACGCTGAGCTGCTCTAGGGATAACTTTAAAAATTTTATTCCTTTATTTTAGGAACGGCTGTAAAGCTTTCCAGGATTAATAGTCTCCAGACTGAAAGAGTTCCAAATGCATTCAGGATTTCTGGCCCAGACTCCGGGCCTCTGTGCCAGGCTCCAGAGGCGGAGGGATGCACTCTGCATTGCTAACGTGGCAGCAGCAGAGAGAGCTGGCATTCAGTGCGTCTTTCCCAAAACGTGAATAATACAAGGAATTAAGGGAATATAGGAATAGAAGTGGGCAAGCTTGGAGGAATGAGAAGGTGCCAAGCTGGATGTGAGCACATGGTGCGGCTGTGTCCTGCAGCCGCTGGAGCTGCTGGGGGTGCGGGCATCGCTTCCTCGGGAGGATCCTTCGCTCGTCTCGGGCTTGGTGCGGCTCTGCAGACCCTCCTGAGGAGCAGAGAGCAGTACGAGCACAGCAGTGCAGCCCTGCTGAGGTCAGCACTCCGCTTCTGCCCCTGGTTCTGGGCAGGATTTGCAGCTTGTGTGGCTCCAGCTGCACCGAGGGGTGTTTGTCCGTCTGTCCTCGCCGTCCCACCGCAGCCGCGTACAGCCAGCCCCCTCTAGTGGCACTTGTCCCGCCAGGTTCGGATGCTTCTGAGACTGGACTCGGGTTTCATTTTTTTCTAAGTTTTCTGCTACATTATATGGCATGGTGCGACGAGATAGTGACATAGAATCACAAATTCAGAGAGATTTAAGCTGTTTGACTCGCCCGCAGTCTCTCTTACCTTGCATATGGAGTAATTCACCAGCAGAAGTTTCTGTGGTGGAGTGAAAGGAAAATCATGATCAAAGCTGCTGCTTGGGAATACACAGCTCTTCAGTTCAGCACTAAAGCTTCTCTCATCTCCTCTGTGAAAGCCTTCAAACCTCATTTGCCTTCCTCTTCATCCAGGCCACTCCCCAACCCCCCCATTTACATCTTTAAAATGTAAAGCTAGTGTTAGACGAGATCCATCTCCTGAAACTAAACTTGAGCATTTTACTAGCAGTATTTATTGCAGTGTAGCTTAGGGCATCTGACCCACATGCTGGACCATAGGCATCATATTTTGCATGTGATGGCCTACATAGAGAGCTCATGCTTAAACAGAAGATTGGAAAAGATTAAAATTGCAGCCAGTTTGTGCTGGGCACCACAGTTTGATTTTTCCACTAACTCACAATTTTGAAATTGTGTACTCTGGAGGCAGAGGACCAAGTTTTGATAAGGTTAAAAGTTGTTTCTTTTCTTGTTTTATCAGAAGATCACTAAAAATATAGTTCTGACTTTCACATCATGTTTAGATACTGCAGAAATTATTTGCTACTGGGTGATAAATACACAGCATTCTTGCTTCTCAGATGTGGCCTGATTTGAGACAAGGTATAATTTAGTCAAAGCTAAAATTGACATTTCTTAATTGTATTGCACTGTGCCCTGCTCCTTTGAACATGTGTCTGTGTGTGTGTGTGCACGTGTAAAAGCAGGTGTGTGCAGACATACTTGAACAGGCAGGCAGGGCGAGAGGGGAAGGAAGCTTTTTATTGCAAATCCTTTCTCAACTCACGGCTCTGGTCAGCTGAAAGGAGCTGTAGGCATGCAGCTAATAAGGATGGTGAAGCAAGACACCCCGAGAGCTCTTGCCTTTGCATGTTGAGGGCAAGGTAGCTGTGAGTGACATACACTCATGCACAGATTTTGCACAGCCAGTGGGGAGAATTAGGGCCACAGTTAATAACTGCAGCATGTCCTCTCCCATGGCTTTCAGAGGAAAAGCCAATGATTGAGGATTGTCTACTGCATTCCTGGGTTGTGTGGCTACACCTGTGGCATTTTGTACCTGAAAAATACAGACAGGTTTCTAGGCCAACACACAGGGCTGATCACTGGACCAGAATGGAGCATGCAGTGTGGTTTCCTGCTCCATTCTGGTGTGTATTCTGCTCCCAGGAAACAACCATTTGTTGCAGCCCAGTTGTGTGTTAGGCAAGCACAGGAAAGATGTCTGTGTTGGGGGAATGAAGTGGAGCTTACAAGAGAAAAAGCTGCAACTATCTGTGCTTAACAGCACTGGGATGTTGCCCCATCACATTTACAAAACCCCCAACAGACTTGCTCCTGCTGTT